AAGTGACGGTAGTGATTCATTAATATAATGGATGACAAAAATCACTATTAAAGATTCTAACTAAAAAAATCAATCACTAAAATGTAATGCACGTTGAGCTATTTAAATAATTTGACATTAACATGTACATTGAGTTTATCGAAAAACTTCTGCATGACGACTCCATTATTTTCATCTGTGAAAACATTTGAGGAAAACATAACTTAAAGATCAACAGATATTAATGAGATCGTCTTGTTTTATCTTGAATTTACAATTTGAAAATTATTGGATATTATTTCACTAATATCTTCTTTATACTTTTAATTTTGTATAATTTGATATTAGAGATATTTGATATTTAACATTTACTACTCAGAGAAGTAAAACAGTCGCTGGAAAATTCTTATTTAATGAATTGTTTGTTCGTGTTATCATCCATTTCAAAATTGAACAGTTAAACGCGAAGAAACTGAAAATGAGATTAAAGAATATATTTTTAATAATAAGTTGATCATTTGTGCCTTCAGGTGAGTAAATATTTTGTGCCTTCAGTTGAAAACAATAACTTTGTGATTATTCAAATAAATTAAAAATGACTTTTATAGTACGCAATAATACATTTTATTCGTTGGTTAAATAAAAATTATAAATTTGATAAAATTTCGCACAGATTGCGAGACTGTTAAAGGATGTAATGAAAATGGTGTCTTCTATCTTGATGGAGAAGTGGTTCTATAAGACGATCCTTGTAAAATTTGTAATTGTGTTGGGAATGAATTAAAATGTTCATTAATGTCTTGTACCAAACCACCACCAGGATGCGTCACTCAAAATAATCCCTGTCAATGTTTTCCTGAAATATCTTTTTGTTCAAATCTGAATTCGCTTTTTTGATTGCATTTAACTAGCATTCCAGATAGTTTAGGGATTGCCAGAAAGTGCCCACCACTGACGATGACGTTGACATGGACGTCGTCATCATTCATCACAGCTGTGAATACATTTAATGGAAAAAATATCTTAAATAACGAATTAATGACTTTTTCGTGATACTATCAAAGTTATAATTTATCATTTATTTTCTTTTACCTACTTTTTAAGAAAGTTATACTAATAAATAAAGACAAAGTTTTCTACCAACTTTTGAAAGAATGCAATTAGTCAATCAAATTATAAGCGTGTTTCAAAACAATCAAAATATAAATTATAAGCGATTTAACTGTGTTATGAGTGAATATTGTGTTATGAATCAAAAAAGTATAGTCGTGTATATATTTATCATCTTGAGAAATTGAGAGAAATTTGATCTTTTTACTTCTTTCTTAGTATCTGTTAGAGAAGTTTCTCATCAAAATGAGGTGATATTGATTTTTGATAAGTATAAAGAAGATATTCTTTAGGTTTTTTCACTCATCCTGATAATAATCCATGCTCTGATTGTACTTGTGGAGAATCAGATAACGGTCCAGAACCTAAATGCACGTATGAAGATTGTCAACCCATACCATTTGGATGCGTTTCTCAAGTTCCTCCTGGTCAATGTTGTGCTGAAATTTTATATTGTGGTTGTCCTGGTATTGGGGAGAGATTCTATAGAATTGGGGAAGAAGTTCCTGATTTATTTCACATTGAAGATCCATGTTTTATTTGTACTTGTGTAGCACGGGACGCTGTCGATTGTAACTTTATGTTTTGTGATGCTCCACCAACAGGATGTGTCACTCAAAATAATCCCGATCAATGTTGCCCTGAAATTTTACATTGTGGTTGTGAGGCTGACGGCAAAATTTATAAAATTGGTGATGAAATTCCTGATAATGATCCATGCAGCACTTGTACTTGTGAAGCATCCGACAATGGAGCAGAACCTGTTTGCTGGGCGGTTGAATGTCCTGCATATCCAGAAAATTGTGTCACTCAAAATGTTCCTGGTCAATGTTGTCCTGAAATTTTACACTGTGGTTGTGAGGTTGATGGCACAATCTATAAATATGATGAAATTATTCCTCATGATTATGCCTTCCGACTATCCGGATTTATCCGGATAAATCGGGATATTTTGTATGAACGGATGGAAATATCCGGATATTTCGGAAGGCCTACTCATGATGATCCATGCATTTGTTGTTACTGTGATTATGGAGAAGTTTCTTGTCAGAAAGGTTGCCCATACCCGCCGCCAGGGTGTGAAAATGCGCAACCTTCTCCTGGTTTTTGTTGTCCTGATTATAAAGCACTCGGTTGTGAAACTGTATAAAATTCAGAAATTGTCAAAGAAGACCATGAAATTAATCAATATTTTGAAATGAAAATATGAAATTTTTTATCAATACCTACTAGATACATTTTCCTGGATTATTTCGCTATTGAATTAAATAATTTTAAAATTTATTAGAGTGGCAGTAGTGGTTCATAAATGTAATGAATGAC